AAACTATAATACTCTGGAAAAAATGTACTTTAATAAAGCAATTTCTCTCGCATGCAAAATGCTCGCTTCGCGGCGGCCATTTCGCGTGCAAGTGAAGCCTACCACATTTCCCATGATGCTTAGCTATAATGGGAATTGCCTATTACGTTTTCTGCTTGCGCGCTGTCTGGAAATTATGATATATCTCACCCGAGAACATTTCATCCTTATCATATTACCGAGTGAACAATAACACGACTTGGCTGGGCACAACGTACGGTTAGGCAAAAAAAAATGTGGGTTTCCCGGTTTCTTCTTATAAAAACTTAGGTAGGGTAGGTCGGTTTTTTTAATTTTCCTAACAACCGGACGCCATTTTGTTTAGTCATTGCTTCCACATCCAAAGATAAATTTCCCTAATATTGCCTCAAATTTCAATTTTCCACAAACTTTTTCCTCTAAGTGGAAACACTTACAAGCATGACCCAATAAAAAAGTTTAGGGTCGGGATTTCGACGTCCAAAAACTAGGTAGGGTCGGGAAACCGATATATTTTTTTTGGCCTTACTATTTTCTGAAAAGTCAGAACGATCTACCCATCTGAGCTAAATACAAAGCAGTTTACAATCTGATAAAGACTTACCGTTTGTACATGTACAGCACACATTCAAGTTATTCCGTTACTCAGTTGATTTAAACAGGTTTTTGCAATGGCACAATGCTTTAGAGGATCCGGGAATATGGTACCATTAGTGCCAACTTTGTGAATCACTGTATGTTTATTGTTTATTGTTTACTATACCTTCGGCGTTCCTTTATCTTGGCTTTTCTTGCCTGGATCAGTCTTTGCGTTTCGGGTTGGCTGAGGTTTGCCTTTGCTCTAAATAGACATAAAAATGTGTATTTTAAGCCAGTGTCAAAGCGGTGTGAAACCACCTTTGCTATTGTCTGCAATCATAGACGTCATTTCCCACGCCCATTCTTTGCTCGGAAAATAACGTCTGCGCACCCGAGCGGGAATTCGACTTTTGTGACGCGTGTCTATTGTCTTACATATGTTAGTCAATTAAAACGTATGTATGTCAACCACGAAAAAGTTGCATAGGATGTTGTCAATAAAAATCTGTTGAGGAAAACTACTATGATACTGGAGTTTCAAAGTGTTGTTCTCGGACCAACAGCCAAACAGACTATAAACTTCCACAGCTCGTTCGACAGGTTGTGATTTGAACTACTCTGCGAAGAATATAATTTTCTACACATTTCATTACATTAGTCATTAAATACTGTATGAATGAACGTGAAGATATCGAGTTGGAAACTGGAAAGTCCGGCATGATGTAAGGTTTACAGTACATACCGGAGGAGTGATTTTCATGCCAGATTCTTCATCACTCTCATCATCATCATCATCGTCATCATCGTCGTCATCATCGTCGTCATCATCATCGTCATCATCACTGTCTGTTTCATCATCATCTTCGTCGTCACTGTCTTCTACATCGAAGTCATCATCATCGTCGTCTTCGTCTTCCGAGTCATCATCTTCGTCCTCGTCTGGCGTTGCTTTCTGCAAAACAACAGTCACTATCTCTCACTAGCTAATACGCATTTGACTGGTCAATCGGGTGCTTTAAAGGCATCTGATTGGTTAATAATCATATTAGCGACTTGTGACTTGCCTTGGACAGGAATAAAATGACTCGACTTGGACTTGCAGGAAATGACTAACGCATGTCAAATTGAATTTATAAATAATTAATTAAATATCTAGTGAAAATTGCACTGGAAATTAACCGATGCACAGCCAGAGCAGGTAGTGCAGCCAGATTGGCAGATCACACTATGACTGAGAGCTTGTTATGTATAGTATACAATTAATATACAATTGTCATGGGTGACACCCCAGGTCTGGGGAAAAAAAACTATACAGAATGACTTGCGACTCGACTTGGCACTGCAACTAATAAAATGACTTGTGACAAGACTTGCTACTCGGGTGTTAATGACTTGTGACTTGATTTGGACTTGCAAAATAAACTTGTTAAATATCTGAAAACTACTTCTAATCTTATATTGATTTAAAATCGAAGATCTTGGTTTCAATGCAAATCCGGCGCTTACCAAATTAATATTCACCTACATACAAAGTCGAACTTCCTCTTTCAGCATCGACTAAACATAGTATGTAAATCTTTATCCTTTACTACAGCAGACCCGGAAAAAGTGTTCAATGTTCCTCGGATCCTGAATTTGCCTTTTTCAAATGTTCCTCAAATAATCAAATTCAGCTCAAAAGTGCGTAAAAACAATGAAAAATTTGACCGTGCGTTACGTGTGTCAGTGTAACAAAGTTTATTTGACTGTATATTGTTTTGACTTAGGCTCCATTTCCAGCTGGAACTCAATTATATTGGTTGTAAAATTGCTGAGGAAACAAAACAATCTTCAAATTATATTAACAGGATATGAAGAGCAATCTCAAAATAGACTCAAATGGCAGAAACTAAATACGATTCCTTAAAATTTTCCCTTAAAGTACGCGCGGAAAATTCAAAATGTCCCTCAATCTTGTTGCTAAGGCAAATGTTCCTCAGGATTTTTTCCAGGTCTGTACTACAGTATATCCTACCACAACAGAATTATGATCTTTTAAGCATTTGTTACACTGTTACACTTAAAAGCATGCATGTAGATTTTATTTCTGGATGGTAGTCAATCTTTTAATGGAGGTAAGCATGGGAATCCACGGACCACTAAGCAAACAAAAACTAGTTGCCTCGGGACCACTCCACTTTTAACAATTCTGGGAAGCCTAAAAAGTTTCCCATTTTGTAACCTTCCCATTCTGATTCATAGTTTCAATTTAAATCTTTGAAAGCTTTACCTTAGCCGCAGCAGAAATTGGCGCTTTTTTCGTCTTCGCTTCATCAATAACTGGCTTCTTTTTTTGTTTGTTATCTTTTCCTTTGGACTCTAATAGATTCATTGGGATGAGTTCGTCTGGCTCATCTTCGCTGGATTCATCATCACCTAGATTCACCAAATTGGAAAGTTGCATGTCAATGAATGAAACTTTTATTTAACTTCGAGGGTAACTTCGCCGGAACTCAACTGCGCTGTTTGAACGAACTATACATTAGGGAGTTCGTAGCGCGAGTATAAGGCCCTTTTTTCCCTTCCTTAAAGCACTACACATAAAATGATTCCTAATGGAATTTTGAATTATTTCCATGATTTTAAAAATATTCTGCAATGCCGAAATTTTTCAAGATGTGAAAATTCGTAATAATTTATTTTGCCATGATAGAATATTTTTTAAATCACGAAAATAATTCAAAATACTAAAAAAAATGGGGGTCACCGAAGTTTTTTTCGAGTTAAATTACTTTAAACATAAAATATCCGCCATGTTCTTACGTCATTGTTGTCATAGCAACGGCAGTTAGGATTACTTTTTTAAAAATTCCAAACTGCTTAGTTATTTTGTTATACAAGTCAGATACCCTTGGTTTTTAAACAAATAATAATTCCCCAGAAATTCATATCCAAATCAGAAAATCTTTAGTTTTTAAAGAAGTGTAGCAAGCCACCTTAAATTAAGGACGGGGGAGTGGCTAAATATACTAACCGCTGGGGCAGGCTACAAACTAGTCTAAGGCGCTGTTTATGTTTAAGGAGAAAATCGAGATCCCATCTTTATTAATATTTCCTACCATATTTCATCTTGCATTTATATGAAAACCGAGCTGGCCCGCCTAACGGAGGCCCCGCTTCATGTGACCCAAGACCAAACAGGCTGGGTAGTTTTCCATATAAACGCATTTACCCGAGCTGGCTCGGCTTTTAAGTAAAATAATGTCTTTATGCGCATGCCCAAAATCCAACTAATTGACTTTTCCGCGAAAATTTGTATTTGTTTTCACAAGTCAGCTCGCCCCAAAAGTTTCATGTAAACGCGTGGTGAAATTTTTCTCGGGGAAGCGAGTTACATGCAGTACGGGTACCCGGGCTGGCTTGCTTCCATCAAAACAGCCCCTAATTTAAATTTAGCAACAGACAGATTTTTGGTCTCAACTTTTCGGTCCAACACTCCCGTCCAAACAGACGAGAAAGTTAAGATGGGAATCCGGTGAGAAACTCGTCCTAAATCCCTATTCTGACGGAGAACTGGAGTTAGAATTATCGAGATAAACATATGAAATTATATACAAAACCTACATATAATTTCAGACGATTTCCGTCCCCCAATTTATGTTCAGACGGGTTTTTATAGACGAGTTTCCCGTCTCTAATATGAATTCGGTTATTATTACCATTCGCAAGTTCAAACTTTGCCTTTTTTTCTGGCGGTTTTTGTTCCTTCCCCGATGTGCTCGGCCGTTTCCCTTTTGATGGCTGAAATACAATGCAACATACAAGTACTTTGTACTACAACTATATGATTTGCTAATTGAAGCGATGACGTATAGTGAATTGAAGCGATGACGTATAGTAGATAAGGATTTTTACAAGATATCTATCAAAATCCAAACATTGAATTACATATAGGTAAAGTGGATGATAATGGGGGAAAATTGAAGTCCTGTAAGTAGTCCCAGTCCGAAATTTCACAAAATTTTATTGAAAAATATAGTCTTCCTATCTTACACATTTCATTTCCTTTCACGATTACCTTTTCCATCCTTTAAACATAAAATTATCGGGTTTTCCTGAGTTTGGGGCTCTCCGGATAGAGTTCGGAGATATTATATAACTTATATCCATTAGATGCATTTTAAACTGATTTTCAAGCATGCAATACCAAATTTTAAACCGTTAAAAATACAAATAACACCACCGTTTCAGAAGATAAATAAACAACAATATCTTAAATTCAATATACAAAATAAGTTTTGGGACTGTTAAAATGTTTTTTTTTGTATATTTGGATGTTGAATGGCAAATTTCCAAAAACAAGGTCAGAATTTTTCTGACTCTTAGAAAACTGTAATAAAAAATTATTGTTCTATAATTTCCTTATAGAGATGATTAAATGCATTACCGATGGCTTGGCGAGTGGTTTTTTGGGTGAGTCTTCATCTGAAACATAGAAAATATGTCAGCAACATAAATAAATTAAAAACAACATCATATTTACTGTAAGTAGGGGTGTTTTGATGTTATACATTCACCTATCAAGGATACAGTATGTCTCAAACGGAGATCAGGCATATGTGGCCACTAGATTTTTTGTGCAAATTTTTAAATGATATCGTACCACAAGGTGCAAATGTCAGTCAAATACAATAAAATGCACCACTGTTGCACACAAAGTATTTCACAACATCTACAGTAGCAGGTTTTAAAAATGCATGGGTGTGGAGTATTTGATTTTTTGGCAACACAATACAGGATTTGATATGACACTTAGCCTAGTGCAAATATCCTGTCCTTGAGAGAGAGAAAACGATTAAATGCCCAAGAGTACGAGACGAAAATGATCAAACACATCACATCTGTCCCACCAGCTCCCTCCACCCCATCCCAATGTGTAAATTGATACTGTACAGTAGGTACATTAATGCCAAAAATGCAAAAGCCAACAATGGTACAAAACAAAAGAAACGTACCAACGCTTTCCTCATCTTCATCACTATTCTCATAACCTTCTGATAACACTACATGTTTTAACAAAGAAAATGAATGATATATTATCATTTAGCCAGTTAATGATACACATGAAAAATAGCTCGATTCTGAATGGCTAAGAAGTAAGAGTGCAATTATATCAAAATGCAGTGCAAAAAAAAAAGAATACAGTCCAAAAAATGAATACATTTAAAAAAAAAAAATGCGTGGCAAGTGCCAATACAAAAGACATTCTGATTTCAGTTCTCTTTTTTGATAATGAAAAATCTGTATTAAATTGTTGTGTCATTCAAATGAACAAGTAAATTATGCATTTCGCATGTGTTTAATGCCTGAAAGTACCCACAAGTTTGCTTCCGAATATTTTTCATGTGCAGTATATTATTGTAAGGTTTATCATCCAATTTGGAAACAAGCACTTGAGTTTTTCAAGACTTTAAATACAGCACCTGTGAAATTTTGATCATCTTTAAAATTTTCAAAATTCACTTCTGCATGTTTTTTTTCAAAGTGCACTTGAAACCATAGTACTAAAACATTACGTAATGTATATACAATATGTACTACTATAGACAGGAGACAAGTTTTCTTATGCCAACATTTCAGTGAATTTTTGAAAAATTATTCTAATCATTCACGGTTGGTAATTATAAACTTCTTGTAAAAAAAAACTATGTTGAAATACATGGCTAGCATTTTGATTATCAGCAAGCTTATATCAGTATTTTAAATCACAATAATAAACTTATTTTAAATTATATGTAACAAAATACAATCAAGCCTACTCTAATTAAATAATTTGTATCAAGCATCTGAAGAGAAAATATTATATACCACAGTACGTACCTTGAACATGGCTTCCACATATGTGAACAGGTCCACTCCCTACAAAAAGTATCACTTAGTAATAGCAGTATACAGTATATACTTACATTAACTAAATATAGTTTTACAGTAAGCACAAATTGTAGAATACAACAGACTAAAATAAACATTATAAGCATTTTTTGTTCAACTACAGCAGAAACCTGTCCAATTTTCTACAAACAGGTCTTGTCACCTCAGATTATACTGTACAATGTATATTGTGTCAATTGCAAAAAAAATCTCATTAATTAAAGACTGTACAACTGTGAAGATGTGTTTTGCACTTCACTTGCATGGTTGAACTAGAATGCTGGGTTTGGTGGATACCTCTTAACTTTAACTATACCTTCAACAAGTTTGAATGTGGCTGTTGAGGAGAATTCAAGTCTGCATGGAACCTGTTGGAGAATATACTCTATGTTGAGGAATGATATTTTTGAGGTTTCAATTAAAATAGCAATTATTACTACCTGTCGTCAGTTGCATACACAAAGAAACAGTCGCAGATAAAAATTCCCTGGGGGAGGTCCAGCAGTATACCTCACAGGAATGTTAGGGCTTAGAGGCTTGTTTCAATTTGTGGGGCCTTTGGGTGGGGCCATATGGATTAATTTGATCAATTTTGTGCCCATAAGCGCTTGATGCAGTGAAACAAAACAACGCACCTGGGTACAAACAGTTACACATTTCCAAATATTCACATTTCAGAGGCACATTTTTCATTCAAACAAATTTACACTTGACTCGTGTACATGTACCTGTCTCACTCCAGACCCAAGGATAATGATTGGCTGTGTAATGCTGTTATCATTTACACCTTTTGTTGTGACCTGCACAACATGAGAGCCATCTTTTGCCTTTGGTCCAAGGCATGCCTGGACAAATTGAAAATAATACAGTTACCATACTAAGGTTAGGCCAAGGTGCTGTAGAGCTATTGTAAATTCCTGATCATGAAAATAAGCCATTAATGTAAACAATGCGTTTGAGATACAATGCAGTTAGAGTTTTACATGGGTTACAACAAGTATTTGGGGAAAATTTAATATACCATGAGTACTTATTTGTTTATTTGAAGCACACTTTCTGTGTGCTAGTATTTGTGGTGTTGTGGTAACCACACTTGCCTTTCAAGCTGGGAGACCTCAGAACCGGGTCAAGTCCTTGGTCAGAACTCTACTCAAGGTCTTAAAATAATCGAGGAGAAAGTGATACCTTTACATTGACCAGGGTTCGAATTAGACAGGAAAAATCGATTTGCAAATTTCCTTCTTGAAATTTTGAATTGCGAATAGCAAGCCGCTAATTCGAACCCTGTTGACATAGTCTCTTTGGTTTTAAAAAAGGTGAAAGTAGACACACACTAATTTGTAGCATCCAAGAAAGGCTAGAGTTATTTCCAGGTCTGCTAAAGGGATTACTAGAGTAAAGTATGTTACCATCTTTTCTTTTTGTCACTTTGTAATTGATAACAGACGTAACAGCCAGAATGCAGACTATAATCAAACTCATGGCAGTTTTAAACAAGATCTCATGTGCAATCCTCTCTGAACTTTATTCAAGTGTTACCAATAATATGCATTTTAAAAGACGTGTCTGTCACTAGGTATAAATAACGAAGTGTGCAAAGTTATTGACAAAGTATTTTTTTTAGTGCACTTGCGGTACTCTGCCCACATACACAGTGGAAAGTTTGTATCATGCAACTGAGGTCCCGGGAATGCAGTTTTGGTAGTTACTGTAATCAGGGCTTTATCCAAGCACTTTTACTGACCCCCGTTTTAGAAAAGAAAATTCAGTTTAAACCGGCGAAGAAGCAACGTTTAACTTCATTTCAAATTCGAGTTTAAATATTAATTAAATCTATGACATTTGTGGACTTATATATACAATACTGACAATATCAATAGTGTAATTAATTAACAGGTATTACAGTAATAAATTTTAGTTCAATTAGTTTTAATTATGGTATTGTATTTTTTCACACAAAAGCAAGAAACACAGCAGCATTATCAATTAAGAACTAAAATTTATTATTTAATATTAACAGAGAAAAACCTATTAAAAATAAAAAATACTACTCAAAAAATCCGATCAATTTGAAATTATTATGACAAAGACGTTCGTCGTCGTGGTTCGGATTGCAGACTGTTGAAGAGACGACAATACTTCATAGCATTGCAGGCCTGTCGGATGACTCGTGTCAACTAAACAAGAGTTTTTCGCATGTTTTTTAATGTGTTTCATATTTTTTATTTGTCTTTTACCGCGTACAGGTAAGCATGTTCTTCAGACAATGGTCAAATATATTTCTTGCCGATCAAGATGAACGGCAACGTTGCTTCTTCGCTGATCAAAAACAATTTCCTGCCGATCATTGATCGGCCGTTATTTCGAGCCCTGTTATACACATGCAGGTGTTATACTTTTGAGCCACACTGTATATTGGCCAATGAACTCTAGTACAGTACGGTATCAGATTTTATTATTGTGTTGGAAAATTTCTCACTATTGGTTCATGCTTAGTTCAACAAATATTTACCCATTTGAGCAGCTGTGCTCTCCCCTTGACATATAAAATTGTCTGGCATTAGACAAAGTAAAATAATAAAGTAGAGAGCATTAAGCTAGGGTTACGCATGCAACTTTTCTCGCGTGGGCAATGCAAATGGATCAAAATTTTCATCACATTGCCAACACAAGAAAGTGGCAACATGTACAAGGATTTTTTCGTCTAGTAAGAGAAATGCAAAGCCAAAGATTTACAAATCGAGGCTAAATTTATCATTCACAAAATTTAGCGCTTTTAATTTTAGACACAAGTTTAAAGGGGAAGTCAAGTCCGTAATGTAAACAAACGGTTTGTTTACATTTTGAACTGCTGTATTTTTTAAAATATGATGCACTGTCTGAATATCTAACACCATTTTGGTTCGCTATACTTCTAAATGAATATGAAATAGAGTTTATGTTCAGAAAAATTGGAAACATTCGAAATTTGGGCAATGTTCACATTAGAGGTCCTCACATTGTTATGAGCAGAACCGATGCGCAGAACGGAATTTGATCACTGTGAAGTACGGTGTGATTGATAGAAACAGAAATATCATGTTGTCAATAGACTACCAAAAGATCCTAATTTGTGTTTAAAGGTGTACAATTTAGCAATTAAATGATTTCGTCACTTGGAGATATATCTTGTACTATGATATTTGTGTGTGTTTTGATATGTCGTACTCAGGTGAATAAGTTTTTTATGTCACTCTGAGTGTATATCCATACCGGGCAGGCTGAAAAGTTAGCCGGTCAACGGTGAGACTTGGAATAGTATGCCAAAGGTTCCCATCGTGGTCAGGCTAACTTTTCAGCCTGCCCGGTGTGGATATACAATCAGAGTAACATCAAAACCATAATATCTTGTACTAGTTCACATCACTGGATTTCCCACTGCAAATAGATTTTTCTCTAGCCAGTCCACTTGTCAAGTAAAGCGATTTGCATTGGCTAGCTGACTAAATAAATATAACCAGTGAGTTGGCATTCATGGCCAAAAGTTAAATCACTTCTATTAACATTCGGCAAGGATTGTTGAAGGCATCAACTAAGTTACAATTGCTTTGGTGTGCAAGACATGATACACATGTGTGCGATTTCTTCTCTTGTGCCAGCAACACAATGAAATTTGACCTGTTGTGTTGCCAGTGCGAGAAAAGAGTCGCATGTGTAACCTAGGCTTTTAACAGGATGGTTAATTGTTTACAATCTTTTATTTGCTGATGTATGGAGAATTCAAAAAATCAGCTAAGAAAATGAACAGCTAAGAAATTATCAGTAACGACAAACTCTGACGAAATACTTACAAATACAACTGAAAGTCAGTGGGCAAGACAAGTGTTTAGGCAAGATTTTCTATGTCTATGATCCTCTAGGACTTACGAACCTGACTGAGGGCAAGCTGGTTTAGTATGTCTACTTCCCCGATACTTTCCTCATCTTCTGTACTCAGCCATTTGAATTCGGGTTTATCTTTATTCAGGGTGCAACCTAAATAACAACTTAAAGTTAAGAAATGTGTATACTTCGCAGTGGAAAGCAGTAAAATCTTACCCCAAAAGTATTGTCGCTCCAAAGAAGCCATTATTTTTGTATTTCAAACACGTGTAGCAAACACTGGTAGCAAACAGTAGGGATGTGTGCGTAAAAAGGGACAAATTTTTCGAAATGGCGCACTTTTATAAGCGGCACACAGCGCGTTTCTGCATATTAATGAGGTGACGGCTCCTGACGTCACGGAAAGCAGAAATATTTTTTTTTGGGATCACTTCAACGATGGCTCTGGGTACGAGATTGGGATCACTTTCGTTGGCAACCTCGTTCCCAGGCTCTTTGCTCTTGGGAAGCAAAGACCCTGGTCGGAGCTGGTCACGTGAACCCCCAGATTTTGGGGGTAAATTGAATTTGACCTCAGGGAGGGGTAGTAGAGGAGTCTATTGCGTTTGGAAAATTGCAACTTTATGTGTTATA